TCGCTCGTCAAAGAACTGGCCGGAGGCGACCGCGTAGTGATCAGCCTTCCACTTGGCGGCAGCACATGAAATCGCTGAAGTCGTGTCTAGCCGCTGTTGGATCCGTACGTCTTCCAGAATGGTTTGTTCTACTTTTTGCCAAAATGTTCCATTCTTCCTGTGGCATATTAGTTGAAGTGTGTTGCTCACCTTCAACTAGCATGCCACAACGATTATGACGCGATGACTCTTGCTTATCCGCTGATCTCCTTGGTTTTATGTTGGCTCTGTGTCTAGTTGACTACTACTACCACTACTACTACTACTACTACTACTACTACTACTACTACCACTACCACTACTACTGCTACTACCACTACTACTACTTGCGTCAGTTATTGGAGCACCGTCACACATATTAGCGGCCCACCATATTCATGTTCCTCGACATAAAAGGTGTCTTCGATTCGGTTGATCGATGTGCCCTTTGGGACTGTCTACTCAGGAAAGGTGTGCCCATGAAATATGTAAATATTTTCCAAGCATTATACACGTGTAGCACAGGTAGAGTGATGGCCTACGGCAAGTTGTCGCCGCCCTTTAATATTTCCAGCGGTGTGAGACAAAGATGTCCGCTGTCACCTTTCCTCTTCAACTTCGCTATTGACGAAGTCATGGAGATTGCATTCATAGGACACAGCTTAGAGGGTGTGGAGCCACTCCCAGGAAAACGACTTCTTGACTTGGAGTATGCAGACGACATTGCCCTCATCTATGACAGCACCAAGATATGTCAAGCTGTACTGGACAGATTAGCACTGACTGTCAGCCGTTTCGGGCTTTGCTTTGCACCATCGAAGTGCAAAACTTTCCTCCAAGATTTGCAGGGATCGCCTCCTGCGCTGAAACTTGGTTGCGGTCTGATAGTTGTCTTTCAAAAATTCAACTACCTGGGAAGTTGCATTTGCCACCCTTGGGATTGAAGATGAGATCACGAACCGTATAGCAAAAACCCGAAGTACTGTTGCTAGTCTTCGCCACCTATGGCGGTGGCGCGACATCAATCTTGCTCTGAAGAGTTGAGTGTACAATGCAGCGGTACGTTCGACCTTACTGTACGGTTGCGAAACCTGGCCCCTTAGATCAGCGGACATAAAGAGGCTAGTTACGTTCGATCACCGATGCCTTCGCAGTTTGGCTCACATCTTGTGGGAACACCGCGTGAACAACGAGCACGTTCGACGCCTTGTTTACAGCATAGGAAAAGGAACTGAACCGCTCA